TCTTCGAAGAAAAGCGTCAGGGTCTCGGTAGCTCTGCTCGCCAGCAGCGGGGCAGGGCGCTCCTCGGCTGCACCTGCTCGGTCTCGGTCGGAGCCGTCCATGGTGCTGTCGTCTCTGCTGCTGCCCATGGGTCGTCAACCAGGGCACCCACCAGTATCTTCTCATAGATGGATGAGGGCAGGTGGCATCTTCATCGTCTCGCCCCTTCTGAAGCTACCCTCTGGTAAACTGCTGGCTTCTTGGAGCTGCACCCCCCTCAGCTATTCAAAGCATCAGTGATTTCACCCGTCTCCCACTTGTGCTCCACCATGAGTGCCTTGTCTGTTCTCGCTTCAATCGGAAAATTCACCTTGCTCTGATGGGTTCTTCCACATTGACGTCCCCTCCTCCTCAGTGCCTCAAACCAGTTCCCGTTCAAGTGTGTTATAACCAGTTATGAGTTTGTGGTGCAAGGTATTTTTGAAATTCATGTGTAGCTGCTTCAAAACACACATTTGCACGAACTTAAGACCCCCATGTATTCTGAGCGTGAACGGCTATGCAGCAGAAGGCACCCAGCCCCACTGTGCCGGTGCAGTCCTGGCCGAGGACCCAGCCCTTGCAGACCAGGCAGCCCGGAGTCGCTACTGCAGGATGCTGCTGAGGGGAGGCACGGACGCGGCTGGAGCAGGAAGTGGGGGACCAGGAGACACTGGCTCAGCATCCCTGAGAGTGTGTCACTGGAGCTGACACTGTACCACTGTCCGCTTTGGGGACAGAGTAAATACAACCCTGAACGCACCCATGGAACCCAGATGCCATCAGATGCATACACCGCAACGAGTGAGGCATGCAGGAGGGAGCAGCAGCAGGTGGCTGGGGTGACTGCTGACCCCACAGACCACAGGACCACCCCATCACCTTGTCCTCAGTCACATATACCTGGCTCAGCAAGGCCAGGTGACCTCAGTGAAGAGAGGGTCCTGGCTTTAGTCCCCCCTGGGCCACTCCTTGAAGTCTGAACCAACAGAAGGGGCCAGGGCCAGGGCCAGGGTGTTGACTACGTGGTCACCACGGGGTCTAGTCACAGGGCTATAGCTGTCAGCCCTCACGAGGGCATGCCCTGTAGTGAGCCAGACTGGGGAAGGTCTGCAGTGGGGGCTGCTTCCCACATCAGGGTCCTCTGGTGGGGAGGGGGCAGCTCCAGCTCTCCCCTTGGGCAGAGCCAAGCAAGACTGTAGGTGTAAAGGGTCCCTGCAGCTGAGTCAGCCAGCCAGGACCCACCTCAGGAAGCTCTGGTGTTGGCAGGCTGTGGCCAGGCCGCCTCTGGGCATCTACCAGCCCCGTTCTCAACCCTGCAAGTTCTTGGCAGCACACCCTGGGTCCCCACGTGCTGCTGGCTGGTGGGCCAAGGACTGCAGGCACCCCGTGTGTTGCAAGGAAACCAACAGGGGCCATCAGGCTTTGGAGAGGCACCCAGAGAGGCTGCTCCCCTCCTCCCTTTCTGAGCCACACTCCTGCATTTCCATGCCCTGCTGGCACCAGATGGACACTGCCCGCCTGTGAGCCTCGGCGGGGGGGAAGGCAGGCCTTTCCCCATGTAGGGACTTTGCTGTGGGCATGCCCGCCATGTCTGGAGCTCCTGGGTCCAGCTCTCTTCTGCCACCTGCCGAGGGTGCAAGCCAGGCTGTCTCCAGCCATGGGCCAGCAGGCCGGCAGTGGCTGTGACAGTGTGTGCACGGTCTGAGGCTCTGAGGGCCCAGGCAGGTGGCTGTTTTCCCAGCATGTCTCTTGGGGACACTCTCCTCTTCCAAGTGGACTGAACCCTCACATGGCGTCCCCAGGATTACAGCGGCTGAGTATCTGCCCAGCCCCCGTACACTTTCCTTTCTGACCTCTGCCTTTGCCCCTGACACCTCCAAGTCACTGCCCGGAATGCCTGTCCCTGATGACATGCTGGTAACTTTCTCCAGGCCCAGAATGTGTGCCTAGGGGCAGCGGTGCCATGTCCCAAGGACTGGACACTGACACACTTTGCTTTCCGAACTCTCTGAGGCTCCCTTGGGTCATAAGAGGTGAACCGAGTCCTGCCAAGCAGGAAGCAGCCCTGGACCCCCACTCCACTCCCCCAGCTGAGGCTGCAGGACCCGGGACCCAGGACCCAGACACCAATAGGGCAGAAGCCAATGCAGCAGATGGCCCAGTCTGGTGGTACAGTCCTGGGCTGTGGGGAGTGGCTCGGCCTGACCCAGCTGCTGAGCAGAGGTGGCCCAAGGTCTGACCTCAGACACGCCAACGGGCAACGATGTCTTGGGGAGGCCCAGCCAGGCCTGCGGGCAAACCCACCCACCCTGCAGCCACAGGAAGGGCAGCCTTGGCGAACAGTAATGGCTCTGATCGGTGGCTGGCTTGCTGGGAAGGCCAGGCCCCAGTCCTCCAGCACCCTCACAGAAGAGCTGT